TTTTTTTGGGGGGGGGGTTGGTTTTTTTTACTGTATGACATAAACAGTTATTAAATTTGGCTTATCCAAAAATTATAAATAAATAAGATAATTAAAAAAAGTTTGAAAAATTTGATTGCAGTATTACTTTAGCACATGGACTGAATGCATATGTGAGAAAAATAGCTTATCTTTTTGGGGAGGAGAAAAGCTGGGGTAATTAAATTAATATTTACAATATGAATGTGGGACCAGAAATAGTTTAAAATCTATTTGAAGTGCAGCTCCCCCTACTGGACGAGGAATCAGGTGCGTCATTGCTGCCAATTTGCATGTTTTTGAATTCATTAGCAGAGCTGCTGGACAGGCTGTGATTAGTGAAAGACCAAAACATCATCAGAAATGTTCCTTCCAGGAGCTTAAAAGTCACAATCTTCAAGAGCAAGTCCAAATGATGGTTGAAATCAGTCAGTTCTCAAGAACGATCCAGCAACTCTCTTGTCCACTTGTTAGAGCTCTTTCTTTCACATACAATCAGCTGATGACCAGCAGCTCCCCAGAAGAGAGATGACATAAATAAAACCCCCTGATCTCACACGCTATTGGCTGATAATAGACAATCATCCCCTATCCTGGAGGTTTGTGGCGTGATTCAGGTGTGACTCAGATGTGAACCGGTCTTGTTAAAGCACTCAGGTGCAACAGGGAGACAGAACCATCTTGTTCCAGCTGTACTGAGTCACATGCAACCTTTTATAATGCCTGTTTAGTCCAGCATAAACAGTTCGGAAAGCTTCATAGCTTGGTTTTATGTTAGTCATTCATTAAAGGAATAGTTCAGCCAAAATGAACATTTTATCATCATTTGCTCACCTTCATGTCATTCCCGTCTCATGCTATTTTCTTACTGCACTTTTGCATACAAAATTCATACTGCAAAGCACCAGATCAGTAGCACTACAAACCTAATGATACTTTATGGTGTTTATAATGGTACTTATGATACTTAATGTGTGCGTACTTAATGTATAAATGTCCAGCTTCAGCTCGAGCTTCTCGTGTCAAATCTTGACTGATGTTAATCAAGTAAGCGTCAGAATAACTGCAGTAATATCTCCAGGTGAACACTTACTGGACTGAAGCAGCTCAGCTTCACTTGATTCTCCATCAATCATGTTTTAGAGTCTCAAATCTGATCCTCAGGATCTTTTGAGGAGCGTTTGTTTCCAGAAGCTTTACTTTCACTGTTCCTCAGCGGAGGAATGATCTTCACAAGCCTCCAGAACATCTCACATCTTCTGAGGAGCCTTTATTTCTTCAGCTCTCAATCACTGCATTATATGTTTGGAGCATTTCAATCTCATCTTACTGAGACAGATTACTGGAGATGTAGAGTGACGACTGATGTTTAGATCATTTTATGTCAGCATCTGCTGTACCGTTATAAAGATCTCAGTGATTTATCACAATCAATGACATCACAAGCATCAGAATTTCATCATATAAATATCAGCATCTGCACTAAATTGCATATTTTTGCTCAGTTTGAGTCTCTGAATAAAATTGAGCTACAAATTCTCACTATATCAGACTATATAGAGCATAAAGGGTCAAATATGATACTCATAAAAAAAATACATATGCAATATTTTGTCTAAAGATTCAATCAACTGTTGTTAAAATAAAAAGATATTCTGAGTATCATTTCATATGTCAGACTTTAGGGATAAAGTAAAATACATCAGAAGTGATTCTGCTTCGTGACAGTGTAAATGATGCTCATTTGTCCCACCAGAGTTTACTGTGATTCAGGCTTTCAGATGAGCTCAGACATGAGCAAACGTCCAGCCTTCGTCTGGTTCACTGTGTCATCAACAAATTAAATTGCACAAATAATGACTGTTTTCAAACCAATTTCCCTAAACACCCCCGTCTGTCATTGGTCGGTTAAACACATAGTCCCGCCCCAAACCCATGCCATTGGTTGAGCCAGAAGTTGACATTCGACCTACTCAAACGTCTAAAAAAAAGCAACCCGATCTCATGAAAGTGCGTATAAATAGTACGCCAAATAAAAACGAAAACTCGTGGTATTGATACGCAAAAATTGACTTTGGCGTGTATATGCTACGCGATGGGTAGGTTTAGGGTTGTGGGGTAGATGCGTATGTACGCGAAAACTGCGTATCATATGCACGCCAACAAATTTCGTATCATATGCACGTATCAATACCACGAGTTTTCGTTTTTATTTGGCGTACTATTTATAGGCATTTTCATGTGACCGGGCTAAAAAAATGACACATTTCCACCATTCTTTGTATTAGAAATCTGACAGTCCACTGTCAATAAGCAGCACAAATTGTTTACTGCCATTATTCTGAAGTACATTTATAAGATTAGCAACACATGGGCATTTACTGTATTAGTCACAGTATGAAACCTGATTCAGACAGAGACAATATAAAGAGAAAATGACAGCAAGGAATAGCATTTACAGAACAAAAGATCACAGAGGAACATGTAATGACATATTTCAGAGCACTGCATGCTGAGCCTTAAGTCAAGTCAAGTCACCTTTATTTATATAGCGCTTTTAACAATACAGATTGTGTCAAAGCAACTGAACAGCATTAATTAGGAAAACAGTGTGTCAATAATGCAAAATGACAATAGTAAACACTAATTTTTCAGTTAAAGACAGTTCATCATTGAATTCAGTGATGTCAACATCCAGCTCAGTTCAGTTTAAATAGTATCTTTGCAATCAATAATAGCGGACTCGGGAAGTCAAAAATAGAACTAAACCTTAATCAATCATTAATCATAGAAAAATTATAGTTAAAAGCCTTATTTCATTCAATTGTCCCATAGTGGGTGATAAAAGCTTGTAATGCTGCTGAGCTGAGCTTTATCTATCAATCATTCAGTCCTTAATGCTGAGAAGCATTCAGAGGACAACAGGCCTGAACAACCTTCACATTGATTTCTAAACCCGCTTCAACTTTCAAACACAGCTTTGTTAAAGGGATATTTCACCCAAACACAGGTTTCAACTGTTTTTGCTGATGTAAAGTCAGCAGGACCCAAAACAACACTGGATGCCATTCATTTGGATCCAAAAAGACAGCATCTTCTTTTGTACTGCAAAGCATCATGTTTGATTTGAGAAGTGTTTATTTTCTAATGATTCCTTACAGCTCGGTTGATTCGCTTTCAGTGAATGTGTTTTATGGTCTTTGTGATCTCAGTATTAGTCACTAATGAAACCTTTTAATGGCCCAAAAGGGTTTTAATTTTGTATTTCTCATCAGTTCGGCTGGTGCATGATGGGAGAATCTCAATCACACACGGTCCTTCATTAAAGCACAAGGTTTCCCTCAGCTCTCCACCGTCTCTTATGGGAAATTTTACACATGATTGTGCATAAAACAGCGCTTGAGAAGCAGAGAAGTGTTTTTTTTCTCTCTGTTATTATCATTCATCTCCACATTTGTTGTTCAGGTACGTCTGCAGTTTCTGAACCTCTTCAACTCTGTAATGGTAAAATATGAATATGTAACAGACTTTCAGCAATATGCTCTGGTTAAATTGAGATGCTTTAATTCTGTCAATTATAATTTCAATATTACATGAAGTTCATTTTAATCATATTTTGAAATGTTGTTATTATGAAACTGATTTGTGTCATTTGATCAAAGAGGATAGAAGTTAAACTAACTAACAAAATCAATATTCACCCAATATTCAGATTTGGCATGAGTTTTCAGTGGCCAATTATTAAATTAGTAATCAGTCACACCAACAGAAATACTTAAGTCTATAAGTATGTTTTCACTGACCTCAGAAAGATTAAAGTATTATTTTAAAAGGGCTGAACAGGAAGACATTTACACAATTTTCAATAAAAGCAAGCATTTTAATTTTGGTAATTAGGCACATGCAAACCAGCTGATATTATATTTTTGATATGTGTAAAAAAACATAGTTAAACTGTTACTGTAGTAAAACCAGGGTTAATCTTGTAGTTAATGTTTTTTTTACAACAAGTACTACAACTGAACTAAGCTTACTGTAATAAAAGTGTGGTTAACATGGTTTTACATTTTAATTAAAATGGTTACTTTATTAATATTATTAACAATAACAATAATAATAATAAAGTAACCAAGATTAATAAAAATGTATGTTTTTATTAAATATATTAAATATATCACATTTGTTTGTTTAAAATGCACATTAATGCATATCAGTATTAAAAATACAAAATTTAAACCAAATTACAGCACCATTTGTAAAACTATACACAAATACAGACATACAATACATGATGATCAAATATTATTTATTAATCCTGATTTTAGTTTTGATATGTGTAAACTATAAACATGGATCAGCCATAGCTCAATAGCTTTGTTTATTTTTTATGAAATTCTTAATAAATGTATTTTTTATTTGAATTACATTAAAATAATGTATTATACATTCTATTTTTATTATACTATGTGCAGCTAAATCTATCAAATAATGTAAGTTCAAGTTAATTATAAAGAGTTAGGCATGCAAACGGCTCTATTTCCTGAAAATGACTCTGACAGCATGACATCATAACTATGTAAATGCATTATGCTAATGAAGCTAAAGTGACACTGACCTTTTAAGTTAGTTATTTTAAGTTTCACTAATAAGTGGCAGATCACCGGTGCTGTAAGTGAGCCTCTGTGTTCCTACATAACATATCAAGTATTTTTATAGTGGGATAAATTAAAGCCAGAGATGATCTGTGTTGGTACTCGATGAATATGGTTCTCTGATGTCAAAGTGTGACAGCTGAAGCTTTAATTAGCAGTGCAGAAGGTTTAGCCATCGTCGTCTGCGAGCGGAAGCGTGGAGTGCAGCTCTCAATGCAACTCTTTGTTTGGCCTCTTCTTCACGTCTCTCTGAAGCGCCGGCTCCGGTTTCAGCTCCGAAAGGATCTCAGAGGATCTGGAAGGCATTTCAAAGCGTCCACAGCGGCTCTCAGAAGAGCTTATCTGCAGATGCAGTCAGATACAGTAGGCAGCACTACTGCACATTTACTCCTTCCTGGAACATATTAAGCTTATGATACACAGGGCAACTTTTTTTGAGCGATGTTGCTTGGGCACTTTCCCATTGAGAATGGGTAACAAATTTCTATCTGGATACTTTAGATCGGTCATGGGCCCCGTGTCTCACCTGGTTGCCCGTTCACGTCAACATTGGCCAAAGATTGCCCCGTGTATCATCAGCCTTAGAGGAACACGTTAGTTATTAGAAGGATAAAAGGCTGGAGATCAGCCTCTCAGCAAGACATATGCTTACAAAAACGCATCGATTCACAACAGGAGGCCTTTGTTCACCCCCCGGAGCCGTGTGAGACACTTTTTTATGGATGGGCGCTTTTTATTTAACTTCTTTTGGACTGATGCATGCAACACCTGCTTACTGCAATGATAGAGCTTGGAATAACCAGGACCAAGTTTAATATAATTCCGACTGGATTCGTCTGAAAGAAGAAAGTCATAGGATGAATTATAATATAATATAATTATATTATTATTAATTAATATAATATAATTATAATATAATGTAATATAATTATGAAAAACCGAGAGACTTAGGAGGAGCTTCTTCCCCCAGGCCATCAGGCTCCTAAACTCAAACTCAGTCTCTTTACACCAACATGACTTCACTTAATTATCAGTAAGACACTTAATATACTGACATTGCCACTTGCACACAGTAATTTCTGTTATATTTTATTTATTTACCTTTCTTTTTTTTTTTTTTACTCTATTGCTGCTATTGAACTACCCTGTACAACCTGTTTGCACATTCTTCTCTTGTACCTCTTGTACCATCTTAATATTTATTAAGTCTACAGTATACTGTCCTGCGCATTTTATTTTATTCTTATTTTTTTAATTGTCAGAAGTTGTTACAAATCTCACTAAAGCAGAGCATTGAAAAAAGACACCAGGCCCGATACACAAAAGCAGTGCACAAAAGCCATATTTTAAAATATACACATATATATATATATATATATATATATATAAAAAATCAAATATCTGGTGTCTGAATAATTTTTGGTTTGATTGTATTAACGAACTTTAATGCTTATCGTTCTTGGTGTGAAAGTAACATTTGCCATCCCAATTCTAGTGAAAGAGCTGCGAAACAAGCTTCGGCTGAACTTCAGCCAGACTAGACTCTCCTCTGCAGCGTCTGGCACCGAAACTCAGCAAATCTGCTGCTCTCTGGTTTCATTTTCATTCATCTAAGAGGCTCACGATGTGATAAAGCTCCGAACAACTTCCGTACCTGCGGATAAGCCTGAGAGCAAGCAGAGATCTGGAGTATCAGTATTTCAAAGCGTGTGGAGGAGAAGAAGGGATGTGTTTTCCTCCTGAGCTCCTCAGATGAAGTTCATCCACGTGCAGGACGGGAAACTTACTGAGGAATCAGCACTAATACACATTTTAGAATTTTAGAATTGAGTTTTAGCATCAGAACTATGAAAAATAATAGTATATACATACATACATACATACAGATACACTCTAAAGATGCTGGGTAGCCTTCTGGGTAGTTTTATTCAACTCAACTTTTGCTTACAAATGACTATATTTCTTGCTTAAAATGAACCCAAAATAGGTTGCAAATTAGCATTTATTAATATGTTCAATAAATAATAATAAAACAATTTTAATTGCTTAAATGTTCACTTTTTGATCGTTGCTGCCTCTAGTAATTATGTGTCTGACTTTTAATTTACAACCTATTTTGGGTTCATTTTAAGCCAGCCATATAGTAATTTTTAATAGTTGAGTTAAATAAAACAAACCAGAAGGTTGGGTTAAACAATTAAACAACAAAACAACCCAATCTCTGGGTTTGTTCATTTCACCCAGCACTGGGTTGTTTTGAACCCAGAAGATTTTAGAGTGATAGATAGACAGATAGATATGATTTTATAAAGCAGTTCTCATCTGGCTTCAGGACTTAAAGCAATTCCAAAAAGGTTGTGCAAATGTAAACAAATATATAGAGTTTGACACATGACCTTTGACACCAGCAACAAAAAAGTGTTTTTTCTCCCTTTTTAAAAGTGTTTATTTAGCTGTTCTAACTACACGATTACATGGTTTATTGCACTGAATCATTTGCATTGTTCTCCTGCTCTTCACCAGTTGAGAAGCATTGATCTAGAACACCAGTTTTGTCATTGGCTGAATCAGCACATCCTCAGCTATACCGCTCTGAACATGTTTACATGACTTTATGTGTATCAGCAAATATTTACAAACCTCGAAGCTGCAGCAGAACCCGCCGGCACGTCTCACAGACATTAGTCTCATGTTTGCATGGCAGCACGACTTCCTCTGAAACCACAGGACAAAAAAATCACATCCTTTATGTCAGCGAGTTACTGTAAGCAATACTTTTTTTCATGCAAGAAATGTTGCTACTACCAGGCAGATATTTTGAGAAATCACATTTGTCTCCGAGACAGCAGGATGAGCATGCACAAAATAAATGACAATTGAGTGGCAATGTTTTGTCAAAGATTGCAAGATTGAACTTGAGATGTTTCTGAAGAAAGTGGTGCTTACCTGCCGTGATGTTGTGTGGTTGCCAGGTTGTTTCTTGTATTATCTTAAGTGAGGAGAGTCTCTGTGATCTTCTGCCTCTTTTGATGTATATGTCACCTGTTTTATGATCCAGCAGGTGAAAATTACATTTGATTATATTTTATTAATGGAATAGTTTACCCAAAACTGAATATTTTCTGAAAATGTGCTCACCCTCAGGCCATCCAAGATGTACATGAGTTTGTTTCTTCATCAGATTTGGAGAAATGTAGCATTGCATCACTGTGCTCTGCAGTGAATGGGTGCCGTCAGAATGAGAGTCCAAACAGCTGATAAAAACATCACAATAATCCACAACACTCCAGTCCATCAGTTAACATCTGGAGAAGACAAAAGCTGAAACAAATCCAGCATTAAGATGTTTTTAACTCAAATACGAGGCAACAGTTCATAATAACGCTTCCTCCAGTGAAAAAGTGTTCTGGTCTGAATCAGGAGAGAAATCTGCACAGATCAAGCAACGTTTAAACAGCACTAAACAAATATGTGGCTGGACTTTGATGTGAGAGACAACAGCAGATGGACATTTTCACTGGAGGAAGCGTTATGGATTATGGACTAGTATTTTAGTTGAAAACTGACGTTTTCAGATCATTGCGATGTTTTTATCAGCTGTTTGGACTCTCATTCTGACGGCACCCATTCACTGCAGAGCATCCATTGCTGAGACACTGATGCAATGCTACTTCATTGCTTTATTATTTATCACTAGTACTGGGTGAGGATTGACTTGGGAAATTCACCAGTGCATTGATAGTCATTTATATTTCAGCATGTTGCTTTTGTGTTTTGCTGAAGTGTACTTCGCTTCGAGTCTTATGTGTTTTGTCTCTGTGTAGAATTCAGGCTCAACCACACGATGACATCACAGAAAATACCCCCCTTTCAGGCCAGGAGCGCTCAGCTTGTCTCTTCCACTTTTACACAGACAATTAAAAACCACAAGCCTCCGAAGGCCCTCTAATGAGAGTCTAATCCTACCCATGATGCACAGCATGTCCTCCTCTGTACCTCCCAGAATACAGCAGGATGACTCGATGCCAAACGCTTCAAGGAATATGTTATAGCTGTTTATGTGCAAAGACCCAGATTGATACATGTGCATACTAGTATAGCTGCTTCCTGCTGCTAACTACACTTCTCTACTCAAGTTACATGAATAATAAACTTTTTTATTTTTCCTTTTTTCTCTAAAAAAATAGAGCAGAAATATGCAGAATGATTGAAGATTGAAAAAAAGGCATAATTTGATATGAAAAGTGAGAATGGATACATTTGGAATAGCATGCTAGTCTTTTTTTGTGTATCACTGCTAAGTATATAGCTTTTGTTGACACTTTGAATGAGATTTTGTTTTTATATTTTTTGTTTTAATTTCATTTTGTTGTGTTTTTGTCATTTTTATTTATTTTAAATGCGTGTATACATATTAATTAAAAAAAATTGTTTTATTTTTAGTTTATTTTTTAAATTGTCTTCATCTAGCTGAATAAAATAAGCTATATTGTATTTCAGTTAATTTTTACTTCAGTGATACATTTTTTTCCTTCAAGCTCCAAATTAGTCACAGGTTCAGCAGTCAAATAAACGAACACATTCCTGTTACAAAAGATTTTTAATGGAGACCGCCATTATGAAAGTCTTCATCATGAAAAACGCTCATTTATAAAACAAACATCACAGTTCCTGCAGCCTTCAAATGTTAAAAATAAACTATGAGTGAATAAACTATACAAGCAAATGCACAACAAATAATCACCTAAAGCTAAATGGACATAAAAAGAGTCCTGTTAAATTAAAAATAGGTTAATTATAGATGTAAGAGACCTGCACAGAAAGACATTAACAAATGAGCATCCACAGGTGAGAGCTCATGAATATTCATGCAACATCCTCATCCTCATCTTGTGTTCTCATTAAAGTTCCTCACAGTGGGTTTAAGATCTAGTCCTTTACACTTCAACTATTGTTCAAAAACAGGTGGACATCCTGCAAATGAACAAGAGTACTGCGGATTCCACAAGCGTTTCTCAGATGAATTCTCCTCTGAACGGAAGCCCGTGGCGGTTCTGCTGTTGCCAACGGTGACGGAGATGACAGAGGGTTGAGTCTCTCAGGTCCTCAAACTCAGAGAAGCCCAACTGATTCAACAGCTCATAAACTCCAGCCCGAGCCGCCACCTGAACACAAAACACAGACACACAATTCAGAGAAAGTTCATTCAGTACTGGACAGGATTGTGCTTCATTCCTCATTCCGGTCTTTGTGTGTGACGTGACCTGTTCAGTCCATATTCTGACTCAGGAATCTGTAGCAGCCCGACCGGTTCTTGGCTCCTGAGAGGCTTTGAGCTGGTGACATCTGGACATGACGGGGTGAACGAGCGGGGACACGTAAACACAAGAACACACAATATAAAGCAGCACAGCCGGCCGTGTTTACTTTGGCTCAGTTGACACAAGCAGCCCAAACTGAGCAGTAAAACCAGCCGAAAACAGTCAAGACCACAGAATGAGAAGAGCACAAAATCCAGCACTACAAGATCACAACCCACACAGAATCTAACCATCCCTCCGCCTGTCTATCCATCTCTCAAAATATATATCCGTCTGTGAATCTAACTATATAACTATATATCCGCCTATCCATCTGTCCGTCCGTCCGTCCGTCCGTCCGTCCGTCCGTCCTATCTATCCATCTATCCATCCATCTCTATCTATCTATCTATCTATCTATCCATCTATCCATCCATCTCTATCTATCTATCTATCTATCTATCCATCTATCCATCCATCTCTATCTATCTATCTATCTATCTATCCATCTATCCATCCATCTCTATCTATCTATCTATCTATCTATCCATCTATCCATCCATCTCTATCTATCTATCTATCTATCTATCCATCTATCCATCCATCTCTATCTATCTATCTATCTATCTATCCATCTATCCATCCATCTCTATCTATCTATCTATCTATCTATCCATCTATCCATCCATCTCTATCTATCTATCTATCTATCTATCCATCTATCCATCCATCTCTATCTATCTATCTATCTATCTATCCATCTATCCATCCATCTCTATCTATCTATCTATCTATCTATCCATCTATCCATCCATCTCTATCTATCTATCTATCTATCTATCCATCTATCCATCCATCTCTATCTATCTATCTATCTATCTATCCATCTATCCATCCATCTCTATCTATCTATCTATCTATCTATCCATCTATCCATCCATCTCTATCTATCTATCTATCTATCTATCCATCTATCCATCCATCTCTATCTATCTATCTATCTATCTATCCATCTATCCATCCATCTCTATCTATCTATCTATCTATCTATCCATCTATCCATCCATCTCTATCTATCTATCTATCTATCTATCCATCTATCCATCCATCTCTATCTATCTATCTATCTATCTATCCATCTATCCATCCATCTCTATCTATCTATCTATCTATCTATCCATCTATCCATCCATCTCTATCTATCTATCTATCTATCTATCCATCTATCCATCCATCTCTATCTATCTATCTATCTATCTATCCATCTATCCATCCATCTCTATCTATCTATCTATCTATCTATCCATCTATCCATCCATCTCTATCTATCTATCTATCTATCTATCCATCTATCCATCCATCTCTATCTATCTATCTATCTATCTATCCATCTATCCATCCATCTCTATCTATCTATCTATCTATCTATCCATCTATCCATCCATCTCTATCTATCTATCTATCTATCTATCCATCTATCCATCCATCTCTATCTATCTATCTATCTATCTATCCATCTATCCATCCATCTCTATCTATCTATCTATCTATCTATCCATCTATCCATCCATCTCTATCTATCTATCTATCTATCTATCCATCTATCCATCCATCTCTATCTATCTATCTATCTATCTATCTATCTATCTATCCATCCGTCCGTCCATCTCTGTCTATCTATCTATCTATCTATCTATCTATCTATCTATCTATCTATCTCTGTCCGTCCGTCCGTCAATCTCTGTATGTCTATCTATCTATCTATCTATCTATCTATCTATCTATCTATCTATCTATGTCTATTCATCCATCCGTCCGTCGGTCCGTCCGTCCGTCCATCTATCTGTCTGATTATATATCTGTCTATCCAACTATATATCCATCTATATGCAGTATCTATACATCCAAATATACTGTATATCTGTTTATCTAACCGTGTAACTGTATACAGGGCTGGACTGGGACAAAAAATCGGCCCTGGCATTTTTTGGTCCAGGCGGCCCATCTCCACTTCCTTCGTCACTTTTTTGCTAAATAAAAGTACTAATTTCTATAATTTCCCCAAAAAATAAAAATAAAATAAAAAATAAAATAAAATAAAAATACTGACTCCAAGCTTTTGAATGGTATATGTATAATGTTACAAAAGCTTTTTATTTCATCAGCCCTGACTGTATATATAACTATATACACACACACACACACATCTGTCTGTCTATCCATCTAACTATATATTCATCTGTCCATCTGTCTATCTATCTGTCTGATTATATATGTCTATCCATCCAACTAAATATCTATCCATCTAACTATTGTACATCTGTCTGCAGTATCCATCCATCCAACTGTATATCTATTTATCTAGCTGTCTAACTATATATCCGTCTGTCTGTTTAATTATATGTCTGTCTATGTATCCATCTAAGTATATATCTGTGTCTATCTATATTAATGTCCATATGTCTTTAAGCATCTGTCTGTCTATCAGTCAGTTTTCCCATTTATTGACTGACAGCTCTCTTGTCCCTGTGTTGTGAGAAATTGGGAGTAAGTGCACAGACACTTCCTTCAGCCTGAGGCTTATTAACTGCACTTTTGGTGTGAAAGGGCCTTTACTCTTGCCAAAAATATAACTTTGGGGTTTTTTGTTATTAAAAACAAACAATCAAGCCCAGCTCAGCTGACAAAAAGTACCACAACGCATTACTTTGCATAAAAAAAATAAACAAGTAATGCAATTAGTTACTTTTTTTATGGAGTAACTTTCCCCAACACTGGCGACAGCTTAGTAATGCGATATACACAGACATATAAATGCTCCTCTTCTAGCTGCATACAGTTCTTATCTCTGCTTGTTTTTGTTCAGGGATCTGTAATTGTTGTCTTGTGGATCATCTGGCCTGATTTGAGGGAAACCAAATCATCAATGAGAGTTTATGCTGTGAAGCGCAGCAGGATTCAGGTATTAAACACTCGAGGTTACCCATGATTCCCTGCGTCAGGTGCGAACGGGATCTGGATCGACTCCCACCGGCAGCTATAAATATAACAAACACCGGACACAATGAGGAACGAGTGCAGACAAACACAAGCAGCAGTAAAAGCAGAGACATCGCAGATGTTATGAGAGCAGAACGCCATCCGTCTTCCTCTGCTGCTCTTTATAGCCAGAGAAATCCCGACAAACACACGATATTAGCAGCTGTAAATCTCCTGTCAAACACACCGTCTGCAGAGACACACAATATCACCTCAAACGCCTGATCACATGACCTTAAAGAAACAGTTCGCTAAAAAAAAATCATTCATTTTGTGTTTCACAGAAGAAAAATATGCCTTACAGGTTTGAAATAAATGATGAGAGTTTTGTTTTTGGGGTGAACTATTCCGTTAAGGTCAAAATAATTAATTCTGAATAACTAATTCTGTTTCCTTTTCATAACAGAGAAAGCATCATTTGTCGCCGATGGGTAAATCGAAGCACACATACAGTATAAACAAAGATCTGTACTATAGTATATTGACCTCTGAGACCTCAAACACCCTCTGAATGTTCTGGCTTGTGTTGTATAACAGAGAGAGAGGTCAGAGCGCTGACCTTTGACCCCGGCTGACTGATGACCCGGTCAACAGGACACTCGCAGCGGCGTGATGAACTGGACACACATTTACAGAACTAACGCATCTGGATCATCAATGCATTTCTCAAAGAAACTGACCGAGCTTGTGCTATAGAGTGAACAAACTTTAATGTTGGCTTGTCAAAGCCTTGTTTGAAATAATGCATAATAAAGCTACATTGCAATGCATTATATTCTTTTCATAAATAACTGTCACCAAAGTTAAAATGCATTATAGTATTTGTTGTGTTTTAATGGATTTTACTTGCTAAAAGTATAACAATAAATAGATACTGTGTTTACAATTATTCATGAGATCACAATGCATTACAAGGTGCATTACAGGGCATATTTAATTATAATTCATTATATATACAGTAAAGGCTTTAAGTGAAGTGTTACCACTATTTTAAAGTAGATGCCAAGATAACACTTTTTAGTTTCATTCAGTTTAAATAGATGCACTACATAACTAGGGTTGGGTACCGTTTGAATTTTATCGATTCCGATTCTTATCGATTCCTAGTTTCGATTCCAATAAGATAAAAAATCCAATATAAAAAAAATTAAGTCAAACATTTATTCTGTCTTTTTACAAAGCATTCTGTTGCAGCTGAATAACACGAGCAAAAATCAGCAGCCTACAGAACACTGCAAGAGGATTTTTGCCTATGCTTAAAAAAAATATATATACCACAGCAAAAACAACTAGATTATTAATATAAATTTCAAATATGAAAGTGTTAAAGACAAGTAAACAGTCAGTAATAAGATAGGAACAAACAAATCAATTAGCAATATCATAAATACAACTGAGCAAAATTTCAGGTAAAATATACAGAACGGTTCGAGAACGGACACAAACCGGGAACCCGTACCACGACCTCTGTTCTCTTCGTGTGCGCTGCACGCAAACAGGGCGCAAGTTCTTTCCGCTCCTGCACTTAAATCGTTTTTTAAATCATTAAAAAAGAACCGAAATGCACGCGTCTTATCGAATACCCGGTTCTTGGAAATTTGGAACCGGTTCTCAGGATCTTCTCAGATTATTTGCTTCCTTCAGTTCTTCAGATAAGAGCCAATGTGCGGCGCAGCAATAAGACCTAATGACGTCTCATTCCAGCGTGGACGGCTCTCGACTCCTGAGCCCTGACTGATAACAAGAGCTTTTCATGTGGACTCGAGAGGCTCTCAGTGGGTTCCTCAGACGTGTTACTTCAGCTCCTCTAATGCCATTCTCCTCCA